GAGAAAGTTCCAGGACAGCCAAGGCTACACAGAGAAACCCTGTCTCGAAAAACCAATACCCATTCCCCACCCCCCCAAAAAAAACCACAAAAAGATTTGTCCTCTGAACTCTACATGAGTGCTGTGACATGTGCTAGTGCAAGAGCATACATATAAATACACACATGCACATAAATACATACATGCACACACATATACATATATACATACATACACACATGTATATATACATATACACATATACACACATGCACACACATATATACACATATACACACATGTACACACATATATACACAAATACACACATGCACACACATATATACACGTAAATACACACATACATATATACATATACACACATGCACACACACATAAACATACATACACACATGCACACACACATAAACATACATACACACATGCACACACATACATACACACACATAATGCAACAGATTAACAAAAACCATGGTTCATCATCGATCTCCCAAAACATGCCCCAACCTCGTCCACAGTGGCAAACATAAATTTATGATCGTGAGATGTTTTTTGAATCTCCATCAAATTGTCTAGAACTTTAAAATTCTCAGCTCCACAACACCAAGTATTAGGAATCAGAACAAGGAGGCTTGTTCCTTGTGAGAACTGACGTGTGCTGGATTTACCCAGGAGGGCAATTCACAATCATCTACAAAGAATGTGTCCTCTTCTAAGCTATTCCCAGGGAGCCCCACTCAGGTGCACGAGGCCAGATGCACAGTAGTGATTGTGCTTGGCTAATCGTTACTGAGGAGGGAAATGGGAACCATATCCATCTCAGAGAAAGTGCGTGAATTGTGGCACTTATGCATTTATTAAAACAGCATATCCAGCTGTCTGATGAGTGATAGCTATACTCACAGTCACAGATAAATCATTTATACAACACCGTGCCCAAAAAAGGTCACGGGATCATCTGCCCGGCATGACTCCATTTATGTAAAGACTCGAGATCACGTAAACGTAAAGAAACTGGTCAAATGAGGAGACTTTAAATGTTACTGTATAATCTGTACTTTGTAATATCTGATCTTGCATGGTTCACTAACTCCAAGCTAACAGGAAATTAAGCATTAACTTGGATGCTAACAAAAAAATACCTGCAGTACCAAAACCTTTTAAAATTCATCTGCAAAATATTGGTATCTCAGTAGAGGATGAGAAAGATTATTCCAGGCTGTTTCTAAGACGCCCTTCATCCTAAGTCCCAGCCCTTCCAGCCATCGGACCATGAACCGTTGTCACCTACCCGCATGGGCTGGTTGTAACTTTTGTGGGTCTTCTGCCCGACAGCTGCATGCCTAGACCAACAAAGTATTTCTGTCTGGACTGTGACAGCGGACAAGGCTGAGCGACATGTCCAGGGCACAGATCCCGGCTCTGATGTGTGGCATCGGAGGGTTTGGTGCTCTCGTTGCTGCCACTACGTCCAACGAGTGGAAAGTGACCACCCGTGCCTCATCCGTAATCACCGCCACTTGGGTCTACCAGGGTCTGTGGATGAACTGCGCAGGTAACGCCTTGGGCTCCTTCCACTGCAGGCCTCATTTCACCATCTTCAAGGTAGAAGGTGAGTACCAGGGCTGTGTCTGGGGCTGGGGCAGAACGCTAGCTACCTCCCTCTCCCTGAGCTGTGTCAGTGAGATGCTGGCTGACGGCGGCCCGCTCGATCTTGATGTCTTAGTGCCGCATTTGCATATGATGGATGCAGAATTAAATGACTGATTTGCACAAGGGGACATTGAGAATAACCTTACGGGTCTAGTAGACCTGGCTGAGGCCAGGAGTAGACCCCCCGACGGGAAGGGCGGGAAACAATTGCCTTGGCTTAAGACCCGGTGTTAATATTCCATGAGTCAGAGAGAAACCCTCACAGGGGCTCTGTCCTGTGTTGAAAGGTCTTTCCCTGATTTTGAGTCTCCCACCTCAAGGACATCACTGAATGAAGGAAACAATTGGAATGTCAGAGTGGTCTCATGTTTTCTTTTCTAGAGTCACATTTAGTGATAAGAACAACAGTGCCACAAGCGTTAGTTAAACTGAAAGGAAATGCCATGAATGTCCCTTTTGGACGTGTGTCGCCTTCTTCTTCAGGACTCTGGATCCTAAAGAGGACAGTTTTACTTGGTTGGCTTTTTGGTTTTAAAGGCCATTTTCCCACTTTAGAGATCTCCAGAGGAATAACTGTCATTTGCTTTATAGTTTTTTTTAATAACCTCCACCTGTCTCTCCTTGCTGAAAAGTGTATACATCTGCAAATATGCCTATGATGTAAGCTTATCGAGTTAAAAAACTCTGCCTAAGTTCTGATAAATACAGTCTTTTCACAATCAAGTGGCAGAGCTGTACCTTGGCTTCATGGGTGGGGGGTTGAGAAAGGAAGAAAGGAACGAAGGAAGGAACAAAGGAAGGAAGGGAGAAAGGAAGGGAGGAAGGGAAGAAGGGAGGAAGGAAAGAAGGAAGATTCAACTAGAAGTAACTAAAGCATAATATTTTACGGGGCTTTGTATCAGGTCTGAGCAACATTAGACCCTAGTGAGAGTCGAGGGGTAAAGCCAGGAGATGGCTTAGAACAAGCCATGGGTACGCCCAAGCGTGGTCAGCCCAGGCAAACGCCCTTGGTAGAAGCATGTGCTTTCTTAGAGTCTCTTAGAGGGATCACTGCTGTCTTCCTAGTCAGTCCTGGCTTCCTCAATAGAAAACTTCTCTTGGAACGGGGAGGGAGACTAAGGGAGAGGCGTGAGTGCAGACATGGCTTCTCTGCATGCCTCCATGCATCCTCTTAGCCTGTCTCTGCATGCGGGTAGCTCTGTTTCTTTGTTCTTAACTGAATACATATATATATATATATATCATATGTATATGCATATTTAAACAAATGTTTCAGCTAATTGTGTTTTAGTCTGTAATGAAACCTAGTCACTGAGAAAGACACATGACATGCTCAATCTCAGCCCCCAAGTGACTTAAAGAAACGCGACAGATCTCTGTAGGACTTCGGTGGCTCCTTCCCAAATGCAGCTTAGAAAACACACAGCTAGGAATGCTACCACTAAACAGGGTTGATGGTGGTCCCAGCAATAATCTAGCCTTGAAACTTATTTTTAAAATATTGAAACATTTATCATCATCATTACCATAAACATGTGTATACACAGTTGTGTGTGTGTGTGCACGCGCATGCCCGTGTGTACATGTGTGCAGGTACACACATGCCAAAGCATATGTGTGGAAGCCAAAGAAGTCTTTCTAGAGTCAATTCACTCTGTCCTCCTTTACTGGCTTTGGGGCACCTAAGATAGGGTATCAGCCTTCTCTCTTCTTTTACTGGTTTTGGGGACCTAAGATAGGGCATCAGCCTTCTACGGCAAACGATTTTACCTGCCAAGACGTCTCATAGGCCCCTGAAACTTTGTTTTTTAAGTTGACCTTGCTTCTTGATGATGAAAACAATCTATTCTAAATCTTTGCACGCGAGGTGGTTGGAGAACTTTGGCTCACGGTGTTCCCATCAGAACACAACAGGTGGTCAGGTGTGGTGGTTCGTGCCTATAATCCCAGCACTCAGGAGGCTGAGGCAGGAGGATTGTCATGAGTTTGAGGTCATCTTAGGCTACACAGTGATACCATGTCTCAAAATTTCAGTTCTTTATACCTCTGGACTAGTGCATCTCTCAGCACTCATAGGAGAAGCTCTTTTTCTAGGAAACGGTGACTGATTCTGAGATGACGGGTCAATGTCCACAGAGTAAGTAGGACTTAGGCCTTACCGTATCACACCTACCCAGCCTCAAGGCTCAGGGATCCCTGCAGAAGAGACCCCGAAAGACTGTAAGGGCCCGAAGCAGTGGGCGTCTGTATTGAATCAGTGTTTGCTGGAAACGGCAGCCCAGTGGCCCGCATGCTCGCACAGTGCCTGGGACTGTAGGCACCAGATCGAGCCAGTCAAAGTGCCAGCACGGGTGGGGGAAGGGCTCGTGATGTCCCACCCCTAGCTGAGGAGCTACTCATAGTTGATAGCCGCCGGAAAGAGACAGTTTTCTTCAGGGATGCAGGTCTTGAGAGCGAGAGACTGCAAACTTGTAAAGCTGAGTGGAAAAGTGGGGGAGGAATTGGAGAGGAAGGAACGAGGGTAGACGGGATCCCAACTCACGTGCAAGCGGGGAGCACTAAGCAAAGATTCAGTTACTGCAGAGCACCATTCTCAACGTGAGGGTTGTGACCGTCCACAGGTGATTTGAAGTCCAGGGGAAGACGCACACACATACGTCACATGCAAATACGATGCCCTTTACGTAAGGGATATGTACACTCCCAGATTTTAGCATTGATTCCGATCTCCACAGAAGCTTTAGGTTTCCTGACCGCATCAGGGCCGCAGCTGGAAGAGCTGGCTGCTTTCCCTTTGTTTCTACTGCAGCAAACAGCGGAGACGCAGGAAACAGTGCCCACAGATGCCCGAAGCATGAGCTGAGCAAAGATGCCAAGGAAGGAAATCACCATTTTAAATTAAAAAATTATCTAACCCTATTTTTACAACTCAAGACAATCTTTCTTAGCTTTCACCCGGATGAAGCTGCCCCCGAAACAAAACACAACAGCAGGAAAAATGCTCGAAAAGATGTTAGTGTTCTTGCTCTTGCTACCCCAAGTCACCAATATCATCCCTTCCTGCATGCAGGGTGTTCCAGGAGAGACGCCATGACCACCAGAGTGCTTTAGGTTAATAATGATGAACTAGTTACTGAATTTGAAGCAAGAAATTTGGAACTTCTTTCAGGTCGCACAAGAATTGAGTGCAGATATCTCTAGTGCTTTCCAGGAAGAAGTGTGAGTGTGCATGTGTGCCTATGTGCCTGTGTGTGGGTGTCTGTGTGTGTGCGTGTGTGTGTTTTCAGGACTGTTGTTGGAAATGGCCCATACTCTACAATAACTATGTATTCTCCACATCCAAAGAGTGGTTACATCTTCAAAGCTATAGATTTTTTGCATCGAATTTTCACAGGACAGAATCACCACAGAGCTAAACAGTTCCCCCAAACACCGTGGTTCCATTTTTATATCAAACCTTCGCTACACAGAGCCACAGCCAGCCTCAGTGATTCCTGAATACACTGGCGGAGGCTTCACATCAGATCTTTACAAGCTGAAATCATCTCGCAAACCAAAGTCCAGTTCAAGAGCTTCAAGGCGCTGCATTGCTGGCCTCCTCCGTCCTCTTCCCCGGGGCTCCCCGAGCTCTGAGCAGAGAGATTTGGTGAAGATGGCCCATTCAGGGCTGAGTATTCCAAGGATGCTCTTCCTGTGTAAAGTCTAGCTGCATTCTATCTGTTCCTATCTGCCCGCCTGAGGGAACCTTCTCTGATGGTGACTGAACAAGGCACTGATCTCTGAGTATGGCAGAACATCATTAGAAGTCACTTTATTGATACTATTTTGTCAAAGACCATTAGCATTTGGTTTTGCCCTGGGCCTCTTGCCTGTCCAGTTTCTGGTTCTTAGTCACACAGTGTCAAGTATGGGTTCCATCTCATGGAGTGGGCTTTAAGTCATATCAGATATTGGTTGGTTACGCCCACAATTTCTATGTCACCATCTCCCCAGCACGTCTTGCAGGCAGGACCGATTGTAGGTCAAAGGTTTTATGCCTGGACTGGTGTTTGTGTTCCTCTCCTGGTAGCCTGGAGGGCACCTTCCCACACCAGAGAGACTAGAACGTAGGGATAAAGTCTCTGTGTGAGGCGCCAGCTTGACATCTCCATGTTCAATGGCTTGGGTGTGTGTTTCCCTCAGCGATGGAGCCCACTCTCAGTTTGTGGAGAGCAAACATTTGTTTTAGCAACAGCTTGTGTTGTTTGGGGATTTCCATGGGGTCCTCTGGGCCAAGAACTCAATTCAATACAATCCAGTCCTGCTACTGGAAGCCTCATTTTGTGGCAGGAGATGGCCAGTCGGGACGGAGTGAGATTTCCAACATTTAGTCTATGTCGCAAGGGTCTCTGTTCACGTCACCAAGCCTTGGCAAAGATGCTGGAATCCAGGAAAATGCTTAGGAAACAGAAAAACATGTGATTTTTGTGTGCGTTTATGATAGGATTTACAGAGCGCCATGTTTTACCAATGTGTGGCCCATGGGTAGACAACACCTATGTGCCCTGGGAACTTCCTAGAAATACACAATCTCACCATCTACAGAATCTCTCATGGGTCCGGGGCCTCTTTTTCTCTAGAAGCTTTAGAAAGTCTCCATTAAAAGCTTGGATCTACAATTCTGTAAGACTGCACATTTCATGAATATCTTACTCTCCCTGAACATTGGTGTGTGTGTGTGTGTGTGCGTGTGTGTGTATGTGTGCATAAGTGTATGAGTGTGTGTATGTGTGCATGAGTGTGAGTGTGTGTGTGTGTGTACCCATGCACGTGTGTGTATTCTGGTGTGTGAATGCAAGCATGCCTATATGGTAGGCATGTGGTGGTCAAAGGATAGCCTGAGGTGTCAATCCTCACCTCTTGCCTTGAGAAAAGCTCTTTGCATTTTATTCTGCCACACACACCAGGCAAGCTGGCTCCTGAGCTCCCGGGGAACCTCCTGCCTCAGTTTCCCAACTCCCCGCAGGAGTGTTGGGGCTACCGACCAGCACAGTGCCTCTGGCTTCTATGTAGGCTCTGGGGATTCAAGCTCAGGTCTTGAACTTAAACAGCGAGATTTTACTCACTGAGCCATCTCTCCAGCCTTCAGTGTCCTTGGTATATGGTGATTACTTGACATAACATGGGAAAAATGCATGGTTACTCTGCCTGACAGAGAGAAGGATCGCCACTAAGTGGTGGCCACCACTGCTATGAAGACCCCTTTAGTCCTCTGAAACTCTACATCTCAACTGTAAGAAGGTGTTTCCAACCAAGGCTTTAGGAGCTGCTTTACCTCAAAGCCGCATGGGAGCCAATGCCTCTGGTCCCTGCAGCTCCTCTTGTAGGAGAGACCGAGACAAGGATTCTTATTATGTGACGTAGTCGCATAACATTTTTTCAAATATCCTGGGATCGCCCTAATCAGCCCCGGTAAGACACTTGGCACACAAATGCCTGTAATGTGTAATGGAGAGACTTCATACTCACAGATCCTAAGGATGCAGGAACACCAGCAAGGCCTTGTGGGAAGTCTGAGATTAACAAAGGGGCGGGAGAGAGGAGCAGAGCCTGGACTCGTGTCTCTTCAGGAAACAACTGTGCTGGACAGAGCCATTGGCTCCAGCACTTTTTGTATAGACTAGTTTAAGTGGTTCTAGCAAGCTCTCGGGCCAGGGTTGTCTAGTCCCTAGCAGTTAGGAGCTTGAGGTGTGAGAGTCGGATAAGGAGCACTTGGGGAATGGTTTCTGATTGGCTGGTTTGTAAGCATGCCTGCAGAGACCATGTGTGCGAGAGGGTTAGCTCTGGGGAAGGGGTGTCCTTCACCTAGTCAGCAGAGGTTTCCGGTAACTACAGCATAGAGGACCCAGCAGCTGAGAAATACAGACACCGTGTCATCTCCAGACCCTGAGTGTTTGCGCAGGCATCAGCTGGGCAGAGCGTCACTGTCCCATCCCGCCGAGAGGCATGAAACACACATCTAACTTGCAGCAGCTTTATTGCTGGCCAATCATTGCGTGTAAAGAAAGCTCATGCTTAACTTCCCTGGGATTCCTCACTCCCTGTGCATTGTCCAGTCACTTCTACGGAGTGAGCACAGTGCTGTCACCTAACCCATCACAGACAAAGTCTCATCATAAAGGGAAGATGCTCAACTTTAAACACAACTCTAAAAAATGTTTCTGTGTGTACGGGCATGTATGTGTGTGCATGCTCATGCATATGTAAGTACATTTCACGTGTGTGCAGAGAGATGCATGGGAGTGAGGGTCAGAGGTCAGCAGTGGGTCCCAAGAATCCTCCTGCCTCTGCCTCCCAGCAGTGGGCTTACAGGTGCATGCCACCACGGGCTTACTTGGACACTGGGAACCAAGCACTGGTCCTCACACTTGCACAACAAGCATTCTGCAGGGCGAGCCGCCTCTCCCATCTCCTCGAGGGACGCTTCACAAGAAAACATAGCACGCGTTCATTCTCAGACGTCTCGCACCTACGCGTTACACGATAATGCTCATTACAGAAAACTGCCTCACGCTTAATCCATCTTGAGGTAATTAGCCAGCTGCTCTACAGTTGAGCCTTTGTTAGTTTTTTTTTTTTGTTTTTTTGTTTTTGTTTTTGTTTGTAATACAGGCAAAATTTGACTACCAAAGGTTGACAAGTAGCAGTGTCGCCGTGTTACAGACGCAAAAGGATCTTGTGGGGGTTTAATTTGTTGGTTCGTTAGCGTGTCCTGTCATCAAAGCAATCACTGGAGTACCGTCAGACTGCATACTCTGTGTTTCACTGGAGAACGGGACAGGGCCCAGAATGGTTAGAGCTGCAGAGCGAGGCAGAGACCAGCCCAGAATGGTTAGAGCTGCAGAGCGAGGCAGAGACCAGCCCAGAATGGTTAGAGCTGCAGAGCGAGGCAGAGACCAGCCCAGAATGATTAGAGCTGCAGAGCGAGGCAGAGACCAGCCCAGAATGGTTAGAGCTGCAGAGCGAGGCAGAGACCAGCCCAGAATGGTTAGAGCTGCAGCACAGTTAAGTACAGGGAACACAACTCCCAGAAGAGCTGATGCTACAATCATCTGGAAAGACGGCAGACGTCTGGGAGGACGAGGGAGGAGGCACCTCAGTCGAAGGGGACTACCTAGCCCGACAAGTTCTGCATGACTTGGGACAGAGCCCTGGAATCTTGAACTCCCTGTCTGTAGAATGGGAGTGTCGTCTACTGCAGGGGTGACATGCGCTAATGGGTGACAAGAGTAATGCCTGGCACCCACAAGCCAAGGCCTAAAAGCAGGAGGGAGCCACACGCCCCAGGGAGTGGCCAGAGCACATCTATAAGATTGGAGACAGGCCGGGCGGTGGTGGCGCACGCCTTTAATCCCAGCACTCGGGAGGCAGAGGCGGGCAGTTCTCTGTGAGTTGGAGGACAGCCTGGTCTACAGAGCGAGTTCCAGGACCGTCTCCAAAGCTAAGGCTGCAAGAACAGGGTAAGTTTTGAGTTCCCGATGGGATTTGGCTATGGGAAGGTTTTCAGGGTTTCCTATGATGGCAGTGGGAGTCTAGGCAGACTCCTGGAGGCAGACCTGATGTGTTCGTGGCTCGTGAGAAATGAAGGGGTGTGTGAGGACTCCTGCTGGGGGTTTGGCGACTGGTGAGAGGGAGAAAACTGGCCACACTAAACTCTAGCCCCTTGACCTTGTACAGTAGTATTCCCTAGCACACACCATGATCTCAAGTTCTCCAATTATGAGTTCTCCACACCCAGTATAAATGATAAATGGTGTTTTATCGGGGATGGAATTACACTGGTAACAGTGAATGACTGTTGGCTTCCCTGCTTGAAGGATGCAGACACTGCATCTCCAGTGCTCTCCACGACCCAAGGGGCTCTCGTCCCCTCCCCCAAACCTCCCCTTCAATGGGTCACGTCTGCACCTGCAACCACGCCCAAAAGGCGTGGCCACTGTAACAAGTTCTCAGGCTACAATTAGGTGTCAGGATCAATGTAAGAAATAATAGTTCTCAAGGTGTAGCTTGGCATTTTGAGGTTCCTACGAAACCCACAGCATGTGCCACCTAACCTCTGCTGGGGGAACAGAGTGACTGTCCCCAAATCCAGGCGCAGGGCTAAGCCATGCGGAAGGCGATACAAACAGCTGTCTTGCTTTTCATGAATTACTTACTGTTGGTTGACATTTATTTGTAAGTACCAAATATAAACCAGGAATACACCCAGACTGGCTATCCTGGGAGGAGAGCGACTTTTCTCCTGAACACGGACTGTAGAGTTTGGGTGAAGCAGATGGGGCACCGGAGGCTGTTTTCCTATCTGATTCCAGCCAGCTTTCTTTACACGCCCAGCAATCCCCAAACAGTTCCTGTCTTGAGATTTCTGTCCCACAGAACTGACTCGGCTGCGCGGTTAAGAACCTGGGGGTCAGCTGATGCCCATTCTCCTGGCTGAACCCGGCCGCAGACCTCTGTGCTGTGTGTGTGTCTTGGTTTCAGGCAGGATGGTTGCGGCACATACTGCTGTAGTTTAGCGGCCTTGAGAAGGAATCACAGAATGCAACAAATCCATGTGGTAGTTTATTGATGGAGGCAAAAGAGGAAGCCGTGCAGTTGGTTCGGGAGAGGAGAGCGAGGGGCAGGAGGCGCTTGCTTTTAAAGGGGGCTTTTTGCGCATGTGCACGGAGCTTTTCACGGCCACACAGTCCCATGGCAGGGCCCCCGGGGCTGAGGCGAAGTATTTGCCTGAATACCGTCAAGTGCATGCGTGGCCTCGCACTGAGGCGGCCTGGATGTTTGCCTGAGCGCTGGCAAACACGCCTTGCCAGGTGACACGGCTAGCATAACGCCCGAATGCTAGCTAACATGCACACCGCACCACAAAGGATGGAGAAACACTTAACTCACAGTCTGAGAGGCTAGACCCCGAGGTAAGACAGACTCACCTCCATGTGTGGCCTACTCCGTCCGCAAACTTGCAGTAATAATCCTCCTGCCTCAGCCTCTGGAGCACCGCGATTACAGTTATGAGCCAGCACCCTCAGCAAGGCCGGCTGCACACTCAGCCTCCGGCGAGGGCCTCTGCGCCACTTGTGGAAACACAGAAATGGGACCAGCTATCGGCAGAAGAGGTCACACGGTGAGGGCGGAAACCAGAGGCCACAGGTGGGCCCGGCCTTCCCTTTTAATTGTAACCAGCTCCCTCCTCTGGGGCCCAGCCCAATCTACCGGACCAATGGTAACAAGGATGGACCCTCCAGTGAGCTTTCAAACACACAGCCTTAAAGGTGTCAGCGCCACCCCGCGGGGACCAAAGCGTCTTTGGGGACACACTCAAACCTTATCCAAGCCACACTCCTACAGAGGCACTGTGGATTCTCTCCAGACAGACACAGTCCCATATCTACCTTCCTGTG